GTGATCACCATACTACTGTCTGTGTCTGTGAGTTTTTCATTGTTTTTCTTTTTCCTTAATCCCTTCACCTTTTTCACACATTTCCTTAATCCTCTCCCACTGGCAACTGTCAAAATGTTCTCTGTATCTATGAGTCTGTTTCTGATCTGCTTGTTCATTTATTTTGTATTTAGATTCCACATATAAGTGAAATTATATGGTATTTGTCTGATTTATTTCACTCAGCACAATACCCTCTAGGTCCATCCATGTTGTTGCAGATAGCAAGATTTTTATTTTTTATGGCTGAGTCATATTCCATTGTGTATGTGTATATGTTGCTTCTTTATCCATTTATCTATTGATGGACACTTATGGTTGCTTCCATATCTTGGCTATTGTAAATAATGCTGCTATGAATATATGGATGCATAAGTTTTTTTATTTAGTGTTTGAGTTTCTCCTGAAAAATACTCAGAAGTGGAGTTGATGGGTCTTTCATTGTCTCTTTGTTTTAAAATCTATTTTGTCTGGTAAAAGTATAGCTACCCCAGCTTTTCTTTTCTTTTCTTTTCTTTTCTTTTTTTTTTTTTTGTTCCATTTTCATGAAGTCTCTTTATCCATCCCTTTTACTTTCTATCTGTGTGTGTATTCCTATATGAAGTGAGTCTCTTGTAGGCAGCATATGGCATGTAAGGGTCTTCCTCTGTTATCTATTCAGGTGCTGTATGTGTTTTGAGGGAGCATTTAATAATCCCTTTGCATTTAAAGTCATTGTTGACAGATTTATATTTACTGCCATTTTATTATTCATATTTTTAATTTTTTCTCCTTCTTAAAGAAGAGCCTTTAACATTTCTTGTAATAGTGATTTGGTGGGGATGAAGTCCTTTAGATTTTTCTTAACTGGGAAGCTCCTTATCTGGCCTTTGATTCTAAATGATAGTTTTGCTGAGTAGGGTAATAATCTCTGTTGTAGGTCTTTGCTTTTTATTACTTAGAATATTTTGTACAAATCCCTTCCGGCCTGAAATGTTTCTGTTGAGAAATCACCTCTGATAGTCCTATGGGACCTGCCTTGTAGGTAAATAATGGCTTTTCTCTGGCTGCTTTTAGGATTTTCCCTTTGTCTTTAAACGTTGGCATTTTAATTATGATGTGTATTGGTGTGAGCCTGTTTGGGTTCATCTTGTTTGGGATTCTGTGAGCTTCGTGGGCTTGTATGTTTATTTTCTTCACCAAATTAGGGAATTTTTTGTCATTATTTTTTCAGATATATTTTCAATGTCTTGCTCTCTCCTTCTGGCACCCCCATGATGCAAATGTTGGTACACTTTAAGTTGTCCCAGAGGCTTTTTATACTATCTGCATTTTTCTTCAATTCTTTTTTCTTTTTGCTGTTCTGATTGGATGTTTAATGCCTCCTTATCTTCCAAATTACTTAACTTGATTCTCTGCTTCATCCAGTCCACTGTTGATTCTCTGTAATGTATTCTTCATTTCAGTTAATATATTCTTCGTTTCCGACTACTTCCTTTTTATATTTTCTAGTTCTACTTTTATGTTTACTGTTTCTTTGTTGAAGTTCTCACTAAGTTCATCTACTTTTCCCCTAAGTTTATTGAGCATCCTTATAACCAGTATTTTGACCTCTGCATCTCGTTGGTTGCTTGTCTTCATTTTATTTCCTTCTTTTTCTGGAGTTTTGTTCTGTTGTTTCATTTGGGACATGTTTCTTTATGTACTCATTTTAGCAGCCTCCCTGTGTTTGTTTCTGTGTGTTAGGTAGAGCTACTATGTCTCCCAGTCTTGTCGAGTGGCCTTATGTAGTAGGTGTCATGTAGGGCCCAGTGACACAGCCACCAGTGTGTGGTGTGTGCACTCTCCTTTTGTAGTTGGTCCTTCATCACTCTTTGCACATCAGTGAGAGTTATTTAATCCCAGACCAGTGGGCTTCGAGGACTGGCCAGGACTACAGTGGAGGACGGACCTACTGTTGGGGGGCTGACCCCACAGAGCAAAACTCATTTCAGTGAGGCTCTGGTGCCTGATGAGTCCACCACCTGAGGGTGTTGCTCATGGAGGTGGTTGGGTGGTATATTGGTGTGGTCTGAAGCTGACCACGGGGTGTGTTGGCTCTGGGACCTCCCAGGACTTGCAGGCCAGAGGCACCCAGCATGAGCTACAAAGCAATCTGCAGATGGATGCTACTCGTGCTGGGCTTGGAGATGCCTGGGAGAGGCCAGGCTGCAAACTGAGGCTCGCTGCTGCTAGTGCCAGGCCTGGGTCCACTGTGCAAGAGGTATGATGCATGCTGAGGCCAGATGCTGCTTGTTTGGGATTTGTGACCCTTTGAGAGATTTAGGAAAGTCCACAGCATGAACCAAGACAGGCCATTTGTATGGAAAAGTGGCTGGAAATGGCTTGGGTGGGCCTGCATGTCAGGTTGGGTGGGGTCTCAGGGAATCACCGGGGTTGGGGGTGAGGGGTGAACAGTGTTAGGGAGGTTGATGGAGACTCAGATATGGTGCCCACCTGCAGGCTCTGTGCAAGGAGGGCTCATCAAAGGAGCAGTGGCCTCTGCCAGCACTTCCATCTGGGTGAAAGCTGCCCCTCCAGCCCTCTCCTTGAAGCCAGACAGTTCAGTTCCTCCCTGCAAGTCCCTGTGTGGGCCCTGTAAGAGGAATACTTGGGACTCCAGCAGCCTTTCATCTCAGCCACAATACCTGCTGGTTTTTACAACCAGAAGTTATAGGGACTTTTTTTTCTTCCTGGCCCCTGAACCCTGGGCTGGGGAGCCTGGGGAGGTGCTGAGACCTCTCACTCCTTGGGGGGACTCTTGTGGCCAAGGTATCCCACTTGATTTTTAACTGCCACACGTTGTATGGTACCAGCACGTTTTGCTTCTCCACCCTTCGTACCGGTCTTGATGTGTTCTTCTGTATATCCATAGTTATAGGACTTTTGTTCAGCTAGATTTCAGGCAGTTCTGAATGGTGGGTGGTTGGTAGGTTAATTGTAATTTTGAAGTGGTTGTGGGAGTAGGCGAGTACCACATTTACCTATATTGCCATCTTGCCGCCAGAAGCTCAGATTGGTTCCTCTATAGGAGTGTTGACAGTTTTAAAACATCCTCTCTCCAGGGGTCTTTGTCTCTCACTAAGAATCTGTCTGTTTTGAAAACAGGGCAAGCAGTTGCTACCATTGAGATCCTCAATGCGGCTGAAGGGCAAAACAAGGAGCCTAGGGTTGTTGAATCCTTGCCCTGCTTTTCTAGCTTGTACTTGATCTCTCTACCCACCCCATTGGGTTTTTAGAGGAATAAATGAGTTCACATATATATGTACAGAGTTTTTAAAATAGTGCCTGACACCTAGTAAGTGCCGTATGTCAAGGGTCCCCAAACTCTGGGCCATGGGCTGGTACCAGTCGGACCGCACAGCAGGAAGTGAGCTTGACTGTAACGCGCTTGAATCATCCTGAAACCACCCCCTCAGCCACAGTCCATGGAATAATCGTCTTCCACAAAACCAGTGCCTGGTGCCAGAAAGGCTGGGACCGCTGCTCTATGTGTTAGCTGTTGCTGTTACCGCTGCTGCTGCGGTTAAAACTCGGCGCTTTCACCTGGAGGGAGACAGTGTCATCCACACACAGTGCAGGGCTTACAGGGGTGCCTGCAGAGACACCAGAGCTCCCTTGGCACATTTTCATACCTGATTAGGTGCTTGGCTCATTGCCTGAAGTTCTGCAGCATAAAACACTGAGCGGTGATTTGGACTTTCCGAATTTTCAAGGCACTTGGACCGCACCCCAGCTGTGGCCGTGGGAGGCCTTAGCCACCCATAACCCCATGGAAGTGTCTGCTGTGGGGTTTTATGGGTTTCTGGTGATAGGCAATACAAATGAACTGAAATGTTTCTACAATAACTAAGGAAGATAAATTACTGATACATGTTATTTGATAAAACAGTTGAAATTAGAAAAATCTTGTCAGAGCTAGATTTTACTTATAGAATAGTTACTATAAAGACATTCTTTCCCATAATATTCTGGATGCAACAAGAATCACCTGTTTGTTGAGAGCACTCCTGGCTTGACATCACACCTGAGCATCCGTGTGAGGGAGAAGCTGGCCTGTGGCTTGTGCAGGCCTTCAGCCACAGACGGGAGGGGTCACAGTGGGGTGAGGAAGGAGCCCAGAACACAGAGCTGTTCTCACGGGTGAGCATCGTTGCTGCTCTGTTAGATGTTGCTGCCATCTTACCTCTTACCTCCAGCTGGTCCTCTGCTCCCCTCTTGTTCATCAGAGCCCAAAGCCAAGGAGAGGTCAGTAAGTGTTTTTAATTATTCCTGCCAGCCTTCTGACCAGCTGGTAGGTAGCTGGTAGTGGGGTAGGTTTGCCTGCGTGCGCCTGTGTGGTAGATGGCGACCCCCAGACATGTATGTAGCACATTAGAAGGGAGCTGGCATAAATTTTTGATGGAATGTTCAACAAAGAAATAAATTTGTATATACAAAGATATAATTGCCCTTTGAAAAGTTGTATAGAAAAATGTTTGAATTTACCCACCTTAGATTATAGCCCAAAGAAGAATTTTATTTAAAATGAATACTGAAAGTTTTGATGAAGATAAGAATTTGTTCACAATAACTGCTTGGAAGTCTTTACTGTGTGGTTTGATTGAGCTTATTAATTAAATGAGCTCCAAGAGGATATTTTGCTGACACACTTGGAGACAAAGTGGCCTATAGGCCAGTTAGCTGGACGTCAAGGAAAGAACTGATGGCAGGTCAGCCCGACCGAGTGTGCGGATGTGCATGTGTCCGTTCAGGCTGAATGTGGGGTGAAGAAATGGTTGAGAATTTGCCGGTTTAGGAGGAATGCTATTATTTGTTCTTCGGTTATGCTGTTACACTCTTACGCTCTTTTGTTTTACTAATATGCTATGTAGATCTCTCTACCAAATCACCTCTTTTAGTATTGAACAGCATGAAGTAACTTCTGCTTTTTCCTCTTTTAGACCGCTGCTCTTCCAGACGAGTGAACATGTGGCCAGTAGTCCCGCGCTGGGGGACGTTATTCCATTCAGCATCATTATTCAGTTTTTGTTCACGAGAGCGCCTGCTGAGCTGAAATCCCCCTTCCAGGTAATAAAGTGAAGCCACTGCCCATTATGAGTCTTCCCTCTTCACTCTGTGAATACAGAGCCCCATTCATTGAATGCATTCCTGGCCTTCTCTTTGTCCCGTTTTGTCATAGAGTTCCGTCTTAACAGAATCATTAAGAAGGAAATTTCCCGCTGCCCTGCAGTGTAAGAATTACTTAATGAATTCAGAATAAGCCCTTTAAATAATAATGACACAAGTAATTTATGTTCATAAAGCTTCTTTGATAGAGGCTCCATTTCCTTTGCTGACCCACCCTCAACTGGCAAATCCACAAGGCTTCTTGGGAGTTAGGAAGGTGCCCCAACAGCTGCGCCACCTCCCCGGCAGGCATTGGAGGTAGTGCACCTGCGGGATCCTTAAGAGTACTTTTTGAACCAGCACTTGGGGCTGTTCACTGAGGAATGTGTATGCCCTTCTCTAATTGTGTTTCAACCCTTCAGAGGGCAGAATGGTCCCACGCACGCTTCTCCCAGTGGCTGGACGACCATCCATCCGAAAAGGACAGGCTCCTCCTCATCAGGTAAAGCTATGTGTTCCAGAGACACGAATCTGTTCTAGAAGCCCGGGGACAGTAGGAGACGCAGGGAAAGAGGAAGGAACAGTAGCCGGGTGGGCACGGACATGTGATGGCGCCTCCTTGCTGCAGCCCACGTCACTGCGTGGGCGCGCCCGTGGTGGAGCCCCTGATAGAACCACAGGGCTCAGTTTTTGCCTTCTGCTTCCTTCACTTCAAAATCTTCATATCCCTTTTGTGCTGTCTCATGCCTGATAAAGCCCTAAGAACTATGCTTCTCTGCTTTTGAAAACTGACTTCAGCTATGAAAAGACTCCTTGTCTTAGCTTCACAGTTTCTGCTTCATTTCTGTGCTACAGTTATTGAATTGGTGGAGTATAGATATGAGAAAACTTTTAAAAATACTCAAAAGTTTAATGCAGTTATTAGTAGAAAACAAGAACAGCCCGGCAGCTACCACGTTCCCTGCAGCAGCACCCCACTAATAAAAATACATTATTAATATTTATGCGTATACGTTCACAAGCATACGGACATGGACACAGGCCACTCCCTGTACCCACAGCCTTGCTCAGAGCGGGTGCATTAACTGTCACTTACGATCTGTTGAGCATCTCTTCCACCAGCGTTCTCCTCTTAGCCACCAAATCCAGGCATTGCTGCTCTTACACTCTGCAGCTTTAGTTGGGGTTGACCACTGCTTCCTTCCCGAAACTCCTCATCAGCTGACTGATTGAACATATTTTTATTGATGCTCACTATGCCCTAGGCCCTGAGGACACAAACCAAACTGAGACACAGTCCAGTCTTCTTGGAGCTTCCAAGAAGACTATATAGTCATCTGTATAGTCTTCTGTTTCTGTTTCTAACATAGTCATCTGTTTCTGTTCTAACCTTTCTGGCCATTTTTTTCCTGTCTTCCTTTGTCTACTCCTTAAATGCCACTCTTTCCCACCATTTCTTCCTGACTCATTTTCCTTCACACTCTGTCTGTGTTTTGATCCCCAAGTGAGCCCATCCAGACCCATGACTCCAGTCGTTGCTTCTATCCCAGTGGTTCCCAGACCTGGGACTCCCCCTTCACTGCCTGGAGCCTAAGGCCAGCAAACTTGTTATCACGTGTTGCCACTCAAAGTTCCACAGAAATCTCAACCCCAAAATGTTCAAAACAAGTTATCGTTCGTCTCAAATCTGCTCATTCTTGTAGACCCCATGTCTTGGATAAGGTGTCACCGTCTCTTATCCAGCAAGCTAGAAACCTCGAAGTCATCATTCAGCTCTTCGTCACCCTCATCCACCAGATCCAGCTGGTTGTGCCTCTTCCGTAGCTCTCGAAGCTCTTCTCAGCTCTCCCAGAGGGGCCGGGCGATGTTGATCTGGGCATCGCTGCTTTCTGGACCTTAAGAGCGGGTGACGAGTTCAGTGCCCCAAGGCCAGTGTGGTGATGTTCTGTCAACCATGTGTGCGCACAGGAGTCATGTACAGAGCCCTGAAAAACCCCGGTGTTCAGGCCGCACCCTTGACTACCTGAGAACCTTGAGAGCTGGGACTTCTTAGAGCTGCCAGCCAGTCCCTCCGCACAGCCAAGGCGAGACCTGCTGTGTTGGGAGAAGGACTCTGCCGAGGAGGGGTGCCCTGAGAGGTCCCCGAGGCACTCCCAGCTTCAGGGAGGGTCCCGGGGCTCTCAGGTTTGGTGCCCAGAGCCTACCTGAGCCAGTCACCCTCCGTGCTCCTCTGTGAATAGAAAGTAGATTAGCTTGGCCCCTGTTCTTCATCCTTGCATATGTTCCTCTTCTCAGCTATGAGCATCTGACCCAGAAATGGGAAAGGACACCAGGTGAGCCTCTCAGCAATTCATGAGACTAGCCAAAGCCGCCCTCAGAAAAGGCTTTGGGCCTGGGCCAGCTCCGGGACTCGCAAGGTCTTTGTGGTGTTTTTGTTCTGAGTCCCAAAGACTCACTCAGCTGCAACCCACTTGGTAATAGAAGATTATTTAGAATTCAGTTAATGGAACAGGGTTCATTTTTGTCTCCCTAGCAAGTTGGAACGAGTTCCTGCACCACAGTCACCCTGCTGTGGACACATCACAAATCCGTCTTCTTTTGCTGCTCTTTAGAAATGTCTCCTGGGTGATTTCATCAGCAGGGCTGTTGCTAAGCCTATATTTAGCAACTGAAAATCATGCTAAGAAATAATGTCATGCTTTTTAAATAAGGCCTATCCATCCCTCTGCACGTCTGATACCAGCATCTTCATGCTCTGAGCAACACATGGAACCCCCTGGGGTCCCCCTTGCCGGCCCTGCTGCACCCCCGGCCGTTGGCAAGGCTCCATCTATTATTGCGAACTAATTTTTCCCTGTGTGCTAAAGCACTACTAGATGAATTTCTTTCCCCTGCAGATAAACCCAGGGTGAATATTGCTCTTTAAATGTCAGTAAATTTGTTTTAGCTTCTGGGGCAAACCTCATTATATACTCATCGGTTCCTCCCAGCAAAATATGTTAGGTTGTCATAAAGTAGGGCAAATTGAGGGTAGTGTGGCTACTGCTGCTGAATAAATGGCAAATAATGAACTCTCCTCTGCCTTCTTTTCTGTTTCCTTTGGACACCAAATGTTTCTCTAGAGCTTGAGTGGCTACTTGCCAAGTTAATTTTAAAATTAGAGGAACCATTGATTGATGACTGATGAGGTCAAGTGGTATAATCGGGGGGAAATTGTACCTACTCAGCCCCCGCCAGTCAGGAGCTCCAGCCATGTGTGTGCCCACAGGTTTGGAGGCTGCGCCCTGGGGGAGGCCCGTTGGTCTGTAAATGTTGAATGTGTTTTCAGTAAAGGTGAAGGCTGAGTTTTTGATGAAAAGGTTTATCAAGCTCTGCAGAAGTGGTAGGATTGGCCACAAACCCATTTCCTCTTGACGTTTGTAATGGACCAGCAACTCTTATGTGACCATCTTCTCCTTTGCTTTTCTGTAGCCTAAGTAGGAGAACACCTTTATGATACCAAAAATGTTTACAGACTTTATTTGAGTTAATTTTTATCTGTACAAGCGCCGTACAGTTCTCGGCGCCAGGCGCATCCTTGGACCCCTTGCCCGCCTGCCCTGGTCCAAGGCCCTCACGTGGGGAGCCAGTCAGCTCCTGTGCTTTGCAGCCCTGTGCATGGAGGGGAATATTTGGTCTCTCCTCCTGCTGTCCCTGTGGCACGGGATGCCTTACTGGTCTGGAACCTGGTGCCTGAGATGAGTCCAAAAGGGAGGATGGAGCCAGGGGAAGCCAGGGGTTTACCTGCCCATGAAGGCACGCAGTAGATCTTGAAGTCATTTATGTATTTCAGTACTAAGTACACTGATATTTAATGCCTGGCAAAATCAGTTTTTGTGCCATAAAAGCCTCCACTTGGCTAGTTTCTGTCACATTGAGAAGTGTTGCCATGTTACAAGCTATTCCTTTACTAATTGTTTGCACAATTCCTGTACTGTTTTCTTTTTTACATAAGGGTAACTAATAATCTTTTTTAGTTACAAACCAGAGTTGGGACTGATTCTTACATAATGCTTAGCCTGACTTTCAAGAAAGCTTGTTTTGCTCAAGCAGATGAAGTAATTTAATAATTGCTTGAAAATCTTGCTCTGATTTTATGTAGGAGGGTAGCTTTAATCTGTTTTTCTTTCCATAGTTCTGATGGTGTTTTTGATGAATACCAAAGACACTAACCTAACTCATTTCTGAATTTTTTTCTACATATTGTGTAGTTTGTATATCTCATCCTTTTGAATGCAAATTAAACTGCTAAGTTGATTTTTGTATTGTATTAGATAAAAAGGATCTAATCCATTCACTACAGAATGATTACAGTTTCTGAGAAATGCAGTGCACTGATTTCTTAGACTGATGCATATACGTATCGTCTCAAAGACAGTTGGGTCCCTTGGGGATTTTTCTACTGTGTATAAATCTACAGAGGCTACATTTGGGGAGTGGGGCGATTGCCCAGGATGCTATAGCAACTTGAAAAGTTACTAAAAGAAGCAAGTTTTTTTTTCCCCCCACGAAGACATAGCTTCACTAAGGCTTAGCTCTGAACTTAAAGCATCTCTGGACTATTCTGTAAGAGCACTGAATTCCATTTTCCATGCCTTTGTTTCTTTTGAGGACCCCAATTATATTTCTCCTTTACTTTCTTCTGCAGTTTTGTCTTCCTGTATTTCTATTCTTTTTTTTTTTTTTTTTTTTTTTTTAATTCATCACTAGGCCCTAGTCCTAGTCACTAGGTCCTAGGGTTACATAAATGAACAAAACAGCGGTAATCCTCAAAGTTAAGTTACAGTTTAAAAAGGAAATTGACCAACAAACAGGTATGTCTAATGTGGTAGAAGTATAAACCTCTTGCTCGAAGCAAATCTTCTCAAAGGTAGCCCAGATCACACAGCGGGTGGTGGAGCAGAGCCTGGTGATACCAGCTAGGCTGCTTTGGTAAAGGTGGCTGGCCCTCTGCATCTTGTCATCATGCCCTGAACAGAAGATGGAGCCAGCCTGCAGGGATCTCCAAATGCCCAGATTCTGCTCAGGTGCACCAACAGTGTGACATCAGTTCTTTTGTGCTGCCTGAAGTTAGGAAATGCTTTCTTAAAATGAGGGCATTTGAGCAGGATCTTCAAGTAAATAGCTCTACAAGGAAGAAAACAAGAAAGGGAGGGCATTCCACGGACAAGGAAGATGATGAGAAAGGTCTAAGGGAATGTAGCTTCATCACAAGATACTCAGAGCGGCTGCAGAGAACTGGCCCTTGGGCGGCACAGACGCCCTTCTGCAATCACATCTGTGCCCACACCCCTGATGTCTCCCTGGGTCGGTGTTGGGGTGGAACTCGGAGTCACAAACAGGGCGAAGCTGCTCTGCACGTGTGCTGTTAATACGAACAGTGGAAACTGATTATTTCAGGGTCCTTTTAGGCCATAGCAAACTGTCTAGAACCCAGTACACATGGGTGGGCTGGGGCAGAGGTTACACGCTGTCCTAATAGGAACAGGGCACGGCCAGTGATGGGCTGCAGGCGGATGGCTCTGCTATAGTGTGTCAGATCCACAGCACAGGGCTGAGCTGGCACTGGGATGGCCATCTACAATACTACAGCAGTAGTTAGGGCACACAATGGCAGGATACAAACTGAAGCAAAGGAGGGAGGAGGGACTGGATGTGGAAATACGTAAGACAAATCCATAGGATTTGATAACCAAGTGTAGCCATTGAAGGAGAGCTTTTGGGGGGTGATGGTGCCTTTTGTGGAAATAGGGAAAGGTGAGCAGAACACTACCCTCCTAGGTTTCTTTTTGTTTTTTGATAGACTCCATTTTTTAGAACTTTGAGAAGGTAGGTTAACCATACGCGCCCCCCCGCCCCCGCAACATGTGCATAGCCTCTCCTGTTATCTGCATCCTCCACCACAGTGGTGCATTTGTAGTAAGTGGACCCACACTACCACTTCATTATCACCCAAAGCAAATCGTTTACAACAGGGTTCGCTCTTGGTGCTCTATGTTCGTTTTGTGAGTTTCAACTGCCCTAGGTTTCTGACAGGTAAGTTTGAGGGACCTGGGAAAAAGCAAGTAAAAATACCCAGAATGCAGGTAGAAAACAGTAATCGGGAGGAAGGTCAGGGCTGGAAATAAAGTTGCCAAGTCAATGAAGTGGGTGGTGGATGGGGAGGGGCACTGCAGAGTGAGTGACGAGCTGGACAGGCTCCGGGCAAGTATATTCCCCGCAGTTAAATGAAAATAGTGAATAAACCTGACCAAGGATGATTATTTTCAGTTTTTTGGAGGACAAAATAACCAGTTAATAATTAGGTGGGAATTGAGACTGAATTTGTGAATTAACATCTGTATAGAAATGTTCTAATCTCAGGGTTGTACACTTTTAAAAACCAGTATTATAAAAATGTGATTTTACCTGGGACTGAAATAGAAAATTAAAAAAAAAAAAAATCTTTTAACCACTGTTTTGGCTTCACTTAAATGCGATCTAACACTTAAACAGATCTGGTTCAAGGATTGAAAATTTTCCAGATCCTAGATCTGGAAAGGCCAGATACCAAGTGTTAGGCTTCACAGGCCGCATGGCCTGGGCCTGACTGTTCAGCTCTGCTGCCCGTAAGGCCCCACAGGCAGCACAGAAAGGAACGTGCAGAGGTAGGTTTGTCCTGTGGGCAGTTTGCCAACCCCCATTAGAACATTATAATCATAAATAACTGGCTAGTATCTCATACCCTGGACTAAATTGACTGCCTTATCATTCTATCATTTACCAAAAATTTGAGCCCCAAAGCAATTTTCCTTGTGGGTTTATGTTCTAACAAATGGCAAGAATACAGTGCACCTGCTGATGTCAGTGTACCCCCCCCAGGGCCCCAGCCCCCAAGCATGCCTTCCCTTGGTGTGAGCTGAATGGGCACAGGCTGCGTATGACTTCCCCAAAGAGAAGGGACACAGAACATCTGAGAGGCCAGAGAGCCCAATTGTATAATTAGAGCACTAAGTACAACACAGACTGAAAAAGGTTTAGTTTTGCACCTTAACCATAGTTACTACCACCAATAAATGTGAAGGCTGTTGGTAACTTAGTTTATGGAACTGGACAGAGCTGTTCCAGAAATGGGCTGCTTTCGTTTTTTGTATATTGACACCTTCTAAGCCGTTTTATGTAATTTTTTAACATTGTTTTCACTTTGGTTTGCAGGGGAGCCCTGGAAGCTTACGTTCAATCAGTAAGAAGTAGAGAAGGCAAAGAATTTGCACCAGTTTATCCCATAATGGTTCAACTGCTTCAAAAAGCTATGTCTGCTCTCCAGTAATAATGTTAAGTATTTCTCGATCTCCATTTTGTGCTAACCGTTCAGGGTTGGCAATTAAACTAAGGAACACGTATTCTTAAAAGACAGTTGCTAGTCATTACCTTAAGAATGTAATCAAACTTTTTATTTATTGATCTTTTGATTTCTTTAGCCTTTCTACTCAAGTAGCATAAAAATGGGGACAATCACCACCACCTTCAAACTCCAGGGACCTGATTTTTCCAGAAAGACCTTCAACTCTTTTCTCTCCTTTTAAGCTTTTCTAGTACAAGGCTAGCTAAAACTTCTTTCCCATCACATAACCAAGTCCCCTTGTAGGTACACATTACTAAGTCCCCACTGCTTTTTAAGGTATCTGATCAGGTTACAATTAAGTACCTGCTTCCTCGAACAAACTTTCTTCCTCACTAGATGTGTAGCCCAGTGGTTCTCATATTTGGCTACACATTAACATCAGTGATGGAACCTTTAAAAAACCTGGTATGTGTTTGTATCCCATATTAAGACATCTGGAGTAGGAGCCAGGTGTTTTTTTTTTTAAACACCCCCAGTTGTTTCGAACATGCAACAAAGTCTGAGAACCACTGGCATATCCCAGAGGCAGAGCTAAATGGTTGTTTAAATCTGTCACACTGTATCTGTAATAAAGAGAGCAAGGGTGTCTTTACACTGTGCGTGTGTCATTTCATTGAAAGATTTCCTGGTCTGTTGCCAAGTCAAAAATAAAACAGTTTTTACTCTACCAAGATTTTAATGAGATAATAATCTACGTCTTTTTCTGTTGCCCTTGTCCTATTAACATTTTTAATTCAATGCTTCAAGCCCCATCAGCAACTATTTTCCATCCCCTGAACCTGTTATTCTGATGTCTCGTACATAATGTTCAAAATCAATCAGCAGCAGAAGTCAGAGATAAACAATTTTTTTCATTTTATTTGAAATAATATACAAGAATATAGTGTGCAAAATTTAGGGGCAACATCATGAAGTGTAATGAACTGAAATCAATTTTACAGCTGTGATTCCTAACCAGAAACACCACTTGGTAAGTAACATGAAAAGCCATGATTGTAGCTCAGAGCAAAAGCAGCTGTATTGCCAATGTATTTGCTCTAATTTCAGACAGTTGGAGGAAAAGTAAAGTGCAAGTGTTGCACTGCAGTAAGTGCAAAGTCTGCCCCCACCATAAAGATATGATGACAAAATAAGATATTTAAGATATGTGGCTGAGGAGATACAGAACAAAATTTAAAAATACAATGGTATCAACTGTTAATAGCACCATTACAGTGACTATATTCCAATGCTATTAACTTTACTGTGGCCTGGGCTAGGCCTCCATTGGAAATAATGGATGGGTGCTGCCACCTGGTGCATAAACTCAGCATGCTCGGGTAACTACAGCAGGTGGCTCTCATGCTGAGACACTGACACCAGCCACCTGCCACATGTTCTGGTAGCCTCTTGGCACTGGCCAGACCAGAGCTCCTGTGTTTGGCACAGCTGCTGAGCCATGTGGTGGCTGCTCAAAGGCCAACTCCCAGCTTCTGTTTCATTCCATTATGTGTACAATACAGATTAATAAGCAGTAAGGAGCCAATGTATAAACAGCAGTTACATATTTTTAAATTCCCCTTTTGTACAATTAAAAATAAAACATGTATACACTTCTCTCTTTCTACTGTACTTTTTAGCACCACAGGATATCAATTTTCAAGCCTATATTACCTGATAGACATATGTGAAGTTTGGAAGAAAAATAAGGCAATTTGGTTTACAATGTTGATAGTTTTAGCTTACTTAATGTTCTAATGGAGAAAGCAAATCCTCACTCTTATTATTAAATCATTTCAAGACTCAATGCTATCAGTATCTTATGGTCACACAAATTCTGGACAAATGGTGAGACCATGATCTTCTTAAGTCTTTCCATCAACAGTCTTATATTTATGCAAGTGTAGACTTAATGTAAGCATCCGGTTTAATGTTGCTGTGAGCCCTGTGGAGATAAAATTAAAACAGTTCATGTTTACAAATCAATAGACAGTAATTCTACAAATGAAAAGTGAGGATGGGTAATGTTTTATAAGCTTATTCTTAAAAAATCACTTTCTCAAAGGTGACAATTTAAAAATTTCGCTAATACCTGATGGCTCAAGCATTCAAGACATTTTTGAAAGTGAAAAGGAGAGAAATGAACTAGAATGCAACAGAAGAGATGCAGGCAGAGTCCTATACTGGAATTTGACCACTATTTCTTTAAAAGAAAATCTTAAAACATGTGAAGTGCAGGTTACTATAAAGAACCAAGCATAGACACATACGAAGCACTGAAGGTATTTTTGGCCAGACATCCTGCCGCATACTGATGCCTGCCCTTCATTTTTAGATTATTTCAAACTGAGCTTGTTTTGTTCTACTATTATTATTACATTACTATGGTGCAAACTTTTCACCAGTCTTCCCGGGCCTATTTCTTCTCTTTCCTGGGGTTTTTTACCTAGAAACTGTACATATGTGAGAAGTCCTCATAAAGGTTGGGTAATGTACCCCTAAGACCTCCAATACCTTTATCACCCCTCACTAATTAAGGGGGAAAGGAAGGTGGTTGAGACATACCACCCCAAATTAGACAAAATTCCTACTGTGGTATTAACAAGTTAGTTAACACCCGTTTTTCAACCCAACAAGAAATGCTACATTCCAAAATTATTTCCACATCTTATCATTTCTGACAAACGTTCTTTGTAAGTACTTCTGACATTTCTACCTTTGCGTTTACCATGCTAAGAGTAAATGACACTGAACGATGAAAGGAAGCCTGCCTAATGTGATGGTATAGAAACACCATTAGGTTTTGAAGTACAAAAAGGCTGAGAAACAGCATCAACACAGCCTTTTAAAGATTTTAACAACTTCTCCATTTCAGTACAATTTTGGAGAATGAGTGAAGGTAATGTTAAGCCACTAATTGTTGAAACATACTGAATTGGTTCTTTTCCTTTTCCAACAGTCAGGATTTAAACGTTTTTGTTCTTCAGCCAAAGCTTTTGCTTCTAATGTATACATCCTCCTCTCTTCATTCTTCATTTTCTTCCACCTGTCACCAAGGATCACACTTATGGCTCTGAAAAAAATAAACATTTACACACTGCTGAGGGCAAGAATTTTTCATAAAACTCATGTCAAGTGCTACTACTTCAGGAAGAAATAGAAAAAGACAATCCCCAACACAGAGGAGGGAACAAGTCAAGACTATACAGTCATTTCCAGTGAAATCAAGTCATATGATCCATTATCGTAATCTTGGTAGTTAACCCACCTGGAATAGTGCCAGTATTTCCAATTGTCAAAGGACATCTAAAAGTTAAAAAATGGATGTTCTACAAAGCTCAGTTTAAAGAAAGAAGCTAACTATTTCAAAGAAATGGTTAAATTACCATTGGATCTATCCTGGTATATTGGTTTTTAAAAGATGTTTAAGATATTAAGGCTGACAATATTTAGTATCAGCAGTACAAAGTATTCATCTTGTATTAGAAGCTATTCTTACTTTCTGTTTGTGCCCATAACCTGCCAAGTAATTTTAAGTCTTTTTTCATTCATGCAACCATAGTAAAAATGGCATTAAATACGCAAACCTTACTATTTACCTCCTAAGACAAGATCAAATAAACCTCAGGCAATGTCTGCACGGATCACTTGAGAAAATTGCATGAACTCAAAGGGAAAGAAATCACACTGTAAGACATCATGAGAGAAATTTGAAGTTACTTTCTGTTTATATTTGCAAACCTGTTCCTAAACCTACTCAAATAGTCTGACTCAGGACATGTAGACCTAAATCATTTTCCTTCTATGAAGAGCTTTTAACCATTCATTTCATGACACCCATACAAAACAAAAGGTCCTGGAATGACTGCATCAAGTATATATGAGAAGGGACACTTCACCACCAAAAGGAATAAACAGAAACACAGATATATCTTCTGGAGGGCAGGCCCCTTGTAGTATAGGCTTCTCTGCTAGGTGAATGTCTAGGACCTGTATCAATGTACCAACTGGTGTTGTGAGAGGCTGTGTTTGGCTTCAGTGAATTTTTTTTTTGAAGACTCTTAACACATTTGCCGGATTCATGATGGGTTATTTATGAGCACACCTGCCCACCCCATGCCGAGTGTTTTGCAGTTTTTGACCAAAAACTGCATGAACCCCTGCCCCACTCTCCCTATTCACCCAATCTTGCCCCTCCACCCCCAGCAACTTTCTTTGGTTTCCCTGATGAAAAACGTCATCAAAGGGGAACATTTTGCCAATGTGGAAGAGGGTAAACAAAAAATGACAGAAATACTAGAAGGCATCAAAACTGACAAGTTCAAAAACTGTTCTGAAGGGTGGGAAAAGTCTCCATAGGTATACTGCATCAAATGGAGAGCACTTTCGAGGTATCTTAAGTTTAAACATGTATGAATATACGACTTTTTATAAATACGAATTTTTGGGGGCCCTCCCCTTGTACAAGTGATTTTCCAACGACCCACAGGGTAGCTTAGAGATACCCATCTGAGCTTTGTTTCAGGTTTTGTTGTTGTTTGCTTCTAAGCTTTAGAGAACAGTAACCACAGAAGCTCTACTACTTAAAAAGATATTAAATGTGTAGTAAATACTTTAAGTGGATGCGATTACTTGATTGTAACTGTACTGCATCTTTATTAAAATAAAGATCAGTTTTAGTTAAGTCTCTATGTTAAAGGTACCACAGAATGGTCGATACATTTACCAGTTAAACCAGTAAGAAATATCCACCTATGTATCAATTCCTAAGTCAAAGATGCACTTGATAAAAGTAGCTTCTCTTTTTCAAATGTTTACTACTAAAAATTAAGTTCTTATCCACCTATGTATCAATTCCTAAGTCAAAGATGCACTTGATAAAAGTAGCTTCTCTTTTTCAAATGTTTACTACTAAAAATTAAGTTCTTGAGAACAGATGGGGTTGTTACCAGATGTGGGGGGTAGTGCGTGGGTACAAAGTAGGTGAGGATGGTCATAAAGTAACTTCCAGCTATAAAATAAATAAAAACTGGGGATATAATGTAACACAGGGTGACTTGTAGTTGATACTGTATTGCTTATTTGAACATTGCTAAGAAAGTAGATCTTAAAAGTTCTCATCGTAAGAAAAAACTCTGGTAATGGATGCTAACTTATCGTGGTGATCATTATGCAACATACAAATATTGAATCATTTATACACCTCAAACTAATATAATGTTATATCCATAATATTTCAGAAATATATATAAGTATAAAAAAAGTTCACAGAACTTTAAATCCTGATTATAAGGATAATCATTTGACTTCTCATACTATCAAGGGTAAAGGGAATGGTAGTTTTAGTTTAGTGTCATGGAACTAGGAAGATTGGAAGAAGGTAATTTTCATACGTGGAGAACTTGGTTGTTTTGAGAGGGAGTGAGCATTAGAGAATTCTAAGATAAGGTAAGGGCACAGCAAACAGAATAGAAGCACTAGAGTTAAATTTTATTCCCAGGCTCTACTGAGGGCACCTCTAAATTTAGTTTGACAGACCTGGCAGTTACCACAAATTGCCAATGCCTCCATGTTCCATACTATGACACAACTGTTAAATAATGAGATCCAACACAAGAAAAATGCTAGATTATTCCATAACGCTTTTCAGTAATATAGACAGAACTGACGGTTGTTAGAACTGTGTCCTTTAACAGGTAAATGATATTTAATACTATTTTAGAAGGCAGTTCCCTACCATTTAGTTAACCTAACTATCTGTCTACACATTATACAATAATTGTAACCCCAAAAATTCCACCTAAACGTCAACCTAAGAAAAAGAAGAAACTTCAATAATGAAGAGTAATTTTAACTGTCCCAGTTCCTGTGAATGACCCTGAAGTGTTTCTCAATTATTTAGAATCATTACTATTTTTACCTGTTATCTTTCCCTGGATACATCTGAGTATATTCAACTCTGTATTTTTTGGCAAAAAGCATGAAGGCATTCATTGGTCTTTTGCACTTGTTAGGAGAAGTGGCACTCACAGTCCCTGAGCTGTGGTTTTTGACAGCTTTAGCATACAAAGAGCTGGAAGAGAGCTGTGACGATCCGGGTGAGCCACAGTTTTTACTGAATCCAGATCTTGTAAAGTCTTGACCTCCAGGTCCTCCACACGACAGAGATGCACGACGCTGACGAGCCATACTACTCAGCACGTAGACTGCAGAAGAATCCATAGGTGTGAAGTCATAGCTAAAAAAATAAAAATTTGTAACATGGTTTTAATTGAAGTATCCAATTTGTAAAAACAGGATTAAAAAAAAAAAAACTTTAACATCTACCTGGAAATTTCAATGCCTTTTCAATATTTTCCCCTATAAAATGTTACTAACAACTTCACCATTGATAGTTACTTATGAGATCAAAGCTTATGTATGTGCTAAGTTTATTTTTGTTTAAATCTGGGAATACAAAAGTTAAAAAAAAAACACAAAACCTCAGGCCCCGCCCCAAAGGAGTATTAATCACAGCCGGTCTCTCCTCCAGATACCGCACTCCCTTTATTACCTTAGATTCACTTTTTGACCAATTTTATAATGTGATCTCTTGGCCTATGGAAGCCAAAAACTAGGAAATTACTGTAAAACCGAGCGGTAGGCATATACCAGGCCTGAAGTCTACTATAGATGATAAAATGTTTGGTAAGGACAGTCAAAAGCAGTTAAATGTAGCTAAAAGAACTTTTAAAATGCACAGTAATCTGGGTCGCTTGTTTAGAAACAGTGATATATCAGTCTCCCCAAAAGGCCAATCATGTATTATAACTTAGCCCCGTAACAGAATCATCTCATCTCCTCTCAAGCTTGAAGGGTCTCATTTTCCTCTCTTTTACATGAAGAAAGAGGCCAAGGAAGTATTCCTCGCCCAAGGCCACATGGCTACTACACCCAAACCCAGACCTGTCTGTCCACCTCCAAAGCCCCAGGTGTCCTCATCAATACCATGGCGCTCCTCACTGGCTAATAACCTCAGGTGAAAAAAAATGATATTAATTGAAAATATTACTGAAAATCAGAGCAAATGTAGACCACAGCCTACATTTACTAAAGGTACACCTGTGAAAAGAATTCTCTTTTGTTCCAACTGTTAACTCTGCTTATACTGTTTATTACCAGAAAACAGTTTATACATTTCTTATTCTAAACTCAGCTCCTCCTCTCCCTGAAACACAAATTCTGATAATACATCAAAACAGGTTGTTATTTCTCCTGAAAAAAAGAAAAAAACAACCACCAAAAAAAAAAAAAAAGGAAAGAAAAGAAAACAGGTTGTTATTAGCTGAAGGAGTAGTATCTGCGTAAAGGCAAAGCATGAGATGATCAATTATTATAAAGGCAGATGAGAGAGCTAAATGAATGAGGTCCTTGTTAATAACTGCATAGTAAAAATGACTTATACCAAAAATCAACCACACAATGTCTGTTTTTCTGTTTTTAAGGCCATCACGTGAAATAAGTGTACTTAATGTATGACTTCAAAATCATCTAATGAATGCACACAGCATCAGTATTGCGTCAGAGAAACAACTTTTGCTATCTTAAGCAAATCCAAATTTAATTTCAAAAAACAGCAAACAAATATTATAAATGAATCTGGCATAATCACTACTGAAAACAAATATTTAATTACAATTTGAAATACCAAGAGACTTCCAATTAGGGTAAGAATACACAGATGGACCTTGAGGACATTATGCTAAGTGGGATGAGTCAGAAAGACAAGTACTATATGATCTCACGAATATGTGGAATTTGAAAAAGAAACATAAAACTGGAAATGATGGTCAGCGGGGAATAGGGGGTTAAGGAGATCGGACAGATGTTGTTTAAGGGTGCAAATTTACAAGGAGTAATATATAAGCCCTAGGGACTTAATGCACAACATAGTGAACACAGATAACAATACTGTATTGTAATCATCAACTTGCTGTAAGAGTAGAACTTAATTATTCCAATCACTGAAAAGAAATGATTACGTGGCACGATAGAGGTATTAATTATTGCTACAATGTCAATCTTATTAAAATATGTAAATATATGAAAGCAACATACTGTACACCTTAAATTTACACAAATGTTATATGACAGATACATTTCAAGATTTTAATATGGTAAACTAGTTAACCACTGATATTTAAAAATGCCACCATCTAGTGGCACAAATAACCATCATTTCTAGTATGGATACAATTTAAAGAAGTTTGAGATATTCAATCACAGAATTCAGGATTTATTTCTTTACTCTCTACAGTTCCTGAAATGTGACTTTTTTCACATCTCTACTTTTTGTACATGCTATTTGTTAAGCTTAGAACATCCTTTCTGACCTTCACTTTCTAATCATTACTCGGGGGGGGGGCGGAAAACAAAACAAACCTCCACAACAGTGTAATGTCTATTAACTATGTCATACATATTAATTCATTTAATTATCCCTTCAATATTATCCTCATTTTACACATTTTTATTAAGAACCATAGCAAGATAATTAACTTACCCCCGCTTCCAAAGAAAATTATTGCAGAGCCAAGACCTGAACCCAGGCAGTCCAGCTCCAGAGCTCACATTCCCACTAGGCTATACTGTCTCAATGAGCACCCGCCACACCACGCACATACCAATCCATTTCTTTCTCCAGACTGGAAGCAGAGAAGCAGGACCATGTCTTAAATGATTTTAAATCCCCAATGCCCGGCACAGTAAGCACTCAAATGTTTGATGAGTGACTGAGGGGGTAAAATAAATAAAATAGTTCTGCAAAGCATAATAATGCAAAATTTTAATTGGGTTCAAATGTCACCTCTGCACTTACTAATAAGATGATCTTGGGCAAGTTAAGCCATCTAGCCTCAGTTTACATATTTCTAAAATAAAGGTAATACATGCTGTGCAATGCTGCATTGTTGAAAGTATAAATGTAAAAAAACGCTTATGGCAAAAGCTGACACATAGTAGGTACTCAACTAGGGTACCTGTTACTGTATACTAAACCTAGAATCTTTTTAAAGTGGCTTGATTCCTAGTTCTGATACTAACTGGCTGTTTTGGCCATGTTCTTTTTACCTCTCTCAACTTTAGTTCTCTATCTCTGTAAAATGAGGATACAATCTACTAACAGTGTAACGAAGATTAAGTAGGCACTCATTATGCTTATCAAATTATATTACTTCAACAGAAATGTCACAAAGAAACTTCACAAAGTCAGAAGTGACTGTTTTATATACCTGCCTGATGCCTACAAGACTGGCCTCAATTCTCAATGTCTTGAATGGGCTTCTTAAAATCATGCTCTCATTTAGAAACTTCTTTCTACAGGAGAGTTACAACTGTGTTTAAGAGCTCATCAATTTATTGCTGACTTCTGGTCCTTACCAAGCTAGTATCTATTCAAATGTCTTCCCTGTACAGCATTACTCAAGGGCTTTCCCCACGTCTACAGGTGGGACCTGGGAATTGATTCTGGGGTTCCTGGTTTCCTCTCAGACTAAGTGTTTCTTCTTTCTTCTTTCCTTGCCTTCTTTGTACCAGGAAGTATCTCCCTTAAGATCCACCGCCCCCCACTGCAAGTCATAATGCAATCCACAATGAAAATTCAGTAAACTTTATACTGTATTTTGCCATGCATAATGTGCACTTTTTTGCCCAAATTTTTGAGGAAAAAATAAGGATGAGCATTATACATGGGTATAATGACTATGTACCATGGGTATATAGTGGGTGTAACAACCCCATATATAATGCACACAAAAACACGGGTGTGCATTACACGCAGGAGCACATTATATGCAGCCAAATACAGCACTACTCATCTTTTTCATGGTTTCTCCTGAATGTAACTGCCTATTTCCACTCCTTAATGGGAAGGGCAAGGGGTGTTGCTGTCACTCTACTATAAAAATAAGACTAATGCTAAGGACATCCTAAGAGTGACTGCTACTCAGTGGGACCAAGTGATGAGAACTTGCCATCTTGGAAAAACAGGGATTTTGCTTTAAAACAGTTCCTTTTTGCTTTAAAAAATGAAGTTTTGCACTATGCAATACTTGATATATAAATAAATGTATATAAATTATGAAGTATATGAATAAACCCAAAACCAATTAAGAATTTTCTAGCATCACCAAAGTTCCACACTTGCCCCCCCCCAGAGAAAACCAGTTTACCATTCCTTTGTCAATAATTTTACTGCAGAATGCATTATTCATTTATATAAACACAAAATATAAATACTGAAACAGCATTAATTATATTAATGTGCCAACTTATTAACATGTAATATATATTTTGTTTTGCAGAAAGAGTTAACATAGCAGGCTTTACTGCTATCCTTTCAGAGGTTTACTTACAGGGTTGGTCCTTGATTAACTTGGATTTTTGGAAAGGTTCCCATCATTCCCACAACTGAGAAGAGTGGTTCACTGTGCCTAAACTGTGTGCAAACAATATGGTTTACCCTGAACACCTCTGCTTTCCTTCTGGAAGCTTAGAATTTTGGTAGGTGCCAGCCTGAGAGGCTACGTTACCAGCTCCCAATAAAAACCCTGTTGAGTGTCTAACAAGCCTCCCTGGCAGACAACATTGCATATAAGTCACAGCTCACTACTGAGAGAAATAAGCAAGTCCTGTGTAACTCCATTGGGAGAGGACTCCTGAAAGCCTGGCTTCTCCCAAGACCTCCCCCCATGCCTTTCATTTTCCCAATTTTGCTTTGTATCCTTCCCTTCTAAGAAATCAGAGCTGTAGGACTATATGCTGAATCCCGTCAGTTCTAGTGAATCATCTTGAAGACCTCCAGCGTAACTGTATGATGTATACTGTATATAATATATAAATATTATATAAATGTAAGTGTATTTTTAATCTTATTACATATATTTTCAAAGAACACCTGAATCCATAAAAAATGGAACCATACTGTGTATTTCTGAAACTAATTTTTACTTAATATTATTTCTAAAATTGATCCATGTTTTAGAATGTACTGCTAACACCTTCTGGTCAGGGCACCTGCCTAGGCTGGAGGCCAGGCCCCCGCTGGGGGTGTGCAAGAGGCAATGATGTTTTTTTGCACATCGAAGTTTCCCTCTCTTTCTTCTTCCCTTCCCCCTCTCTAAAAGAAAAAAATAAAATCTAAAATTAAAATAATAAGATGTATAGCTAAGGTTCATTGATCTTCCACTGAAAATAAAGAATTCCATTGTACAGTTATACCACTGTTTATGTATTTACAGATAATACTGATATTGTTTCCAAGTTTTGCTATCATGAACAATACAGCTATGAACCTATTTACCTATCATTTACCTATCTCCTAGTGAATGTCTACAAGAGCATATTTCTCTAAGGTACACATATAGAGGAATAAGATTGCTGATATTCACTGTTGTAAAATAGAGCCAAATTATCTCCCAAAATTTTATTTACACTCTCACCAAAACCTAAGAGTTATCACTGATCCAAACACTATGAAAGTCAGAATATCGGACCTTATTTTGTCTTATCTCCCAGTTTTCAAAGAGTGTATATAAGGGATATAATTGAATGGCATTTAGATTCCAATCTTGGAGATGTTACTAAGCATGTGGTCTGCGTTTTTTTAAGTAGTCTTACTTATTCTTTTTGATATACAGATATATATTTATCTTATATTAATCTCAGTGAAATAAATTCTACAAGCCAGCAGGAACTCTTGAGAATTCCCTAACTAATGCCTGTAGATTTGATAATTATCGTAGGAACAAGTGTTAAAATCCCAGAGATCTACAGAGACTTTCTCTTGGTACCTGCTGGGAGTAAGCCAGCAAACTGTCCCAGTTTGTCCAGGACTAAGGGGTTTCCAGAGATTCAAGGCTTACAGTGCCAGAATCAGGAAAGCTCCATACAAACTAAGACAGCTGGTCAACCTCCTTGAGTGTCAGGAGACGTGGGTTCTTTGTCCTACTGTACCACTTAATAGCAAGATGATCTCAGGAAAAATAATTTCTCTCTTTCCAAATGTCAAGTTTTTACTATTTTTACTGTTAAACCACGCAATTAATGCTCTTGGTCAAAATGGGTATTAAAGACACAGTTAACTAAAGAAAAAAATATTGATACAGTTAACTACAAAAGTACTAAGAGGTTTATTGACTGATTAAAAATAACTTGCCAGATACACCAACTTTTATATAACTATCAAGTTGATCTATTAAATTCTTGGTCATCTAACATGTGATATTTTTCCTAATCTAATCTTTGATGTTTTATGAACTCATTTTCCCTATATATATGACTACTCTATGTAAACCACAAGCTGTTATTTTACTTTACCTAATATTTTTCACTTAGTCATGTATATTACCATGTATACGTCTTCTGAATAGTTCTTTTATTCTCAAAGTTTTAAAAGTATATTATACCTCTTAAACATTTGACTTAGCTATCATTAGGGAGATTTAGAGTAAACTTTTAACAGAAAAAAACGAATCGAGTGTTACCTTTTGAATGTATCAAAAACACCTGAATCATCAAAATTAATGGCATCAGGGTGTCCAGGAGGTAGACATACATCACCGATATGAATTTCACAACATGGAATGCCATGCTGTACCACAGTCAAACTGGGATAAAATGACGACCAACCTAAAGTTAAATCAAACAACAGTGGCGTAAAGAATGGGGATGGACAGAAAGTACCCAAATTATTTACTGTAAGACATATCATTTCCAAATCTTAAAAATAAAAAGTTATCACTTAAAAATAAGTACCAAGAGATTTTCTAAAACAAATCGTGTACATTTGCCATAAAGCCAAGTACAAGTATTTGTTTTAAGCAATGTAAAAGCCCTCCAAATTGTAGTTTAATTTAGCATTTTGTTAAAAGATTCTATCAATCAGCAATTGCATCAATCTACAAGATAGTAAGTGATCAATGATGATGTGTGAAATCATGGAATACTCTCTGAGTATTAGTTTAGCATGGTGGTACTGTAAAAAGGCTCTAAAGTGATTCAGGTGTATAGGGTAATTGGTAAACCTAAACCAAAATGCAATTACCAAAATATCCCATTCCCCAAACTATATACCAAGATAACAGCTTATTATAGTATGATACATGAATTTAAAAGTTTTTCATACCACAGGAAATAGAGCTCAGTCTGACTACCAGTAAGAAAGACACTTAAGCATTACATTTCCTAAGGTTTTATTCAGTTTAAAATTTTCCCTTTAAATTTTTTCCTTAATCATCAAAGAATTACGCCACAAGACAGATTATAGATGTAAGATTTCTTTAAAAAGTAACTACACATTCAAATTGAAGCCCTACCTTTATTTTTAACATAGAAAGGGTGGTCCAGCTTACACTCTACAGTTAGTAAACCATCTTCTACTGTACCGGGATCAAAAGTCAACTTCAGTACAGACTCGCCAAATGATACACTTTCTTCATGTGATAACAACTTTAGACCATCAGAACCATAGCCCTGAAAATACATGCATATAGTGAATGAATTGGCAACATTCAATTTAACGCACAGTGAAGTTACTATTATGGGTAAGACTTTGTGGAAAGGGTAAAAATAAACAAGACAGGATCCTTGTCTTTATGTAGCTTTAGACCAGTAGTAAAGAAAGACACATAAAGCAGACTGGAGTAAACATTTTAATTCAAGTATAAACAACACTGATGCAATTTAATAAAAGAAAGATATTAACTCCAAAAGAGAGATACTGGGGAGGCTTTTGACTCCCCTTTGCATTGGGATTTAAAAGAAGAATGAAATTTAGAAAGGTATTAAGAACATGGCTTATATCAGAAATAGTTAACTAACAATTGCTTTTGGGAAGGCTGAGAATTTGCTAAAAGGTGAGTCTGGAGTTGGAACAAGACTCAAGGAGGGGCCGGTTAGTAAGGAAAAGGCCTTAAAAGACAGGCAAAGCGCTTCAACTTTCCTCTGAGAGGGTACTGAGAAGTCAATAAAAGTATTTTTATTAATATGATTGTTCACTTTAAGATGATAAAGACTAGAGAATAAAAGTTACCTTGAATATTCCATTTACTTCAAGATATAATGAGAGAAGCCCTATGACAAGCACAGTGGTGGTAGAACCAGGCTAAATTTAAAATTCAATAAATATATCGAGCATTTAGTTCATGCCAGGTACTAGGTTCTGAAAATGCAAGCATTAACAACATATGATCCCTACCCTTAAATTCACAGAAAAACAAAAGACAGGCATGCCAACATCTAGCTATAATATCCAATTATTATTACACTACTGCATGAACAAAGTGAAGAATGAGAGAGAATGACTGACTGTAAAAATTTTTAAGGAAATAGAATTGATAACTAAGTATGAAGGTAACTTCAGGTTTTGAATCTGGCAATCAAGAAGGATAAAAATACATGTAAAAGAATAGAGTTGAAAAGTAGGCCAAAAAGGTAAATCCAGTTTTGGTTATACTAAATAAGCCAAGATATCTAATACATAGTTAGAAACCTACAGGTAAAGGCTATAGACATCTATTTGTAAATAACTGAATTAATGGCATCTTTTTTATTTCTTTTTTTTTTTAAATTTATTTTTAGAGAGAGGAACTGACGGAGGGAAAGAAACAACAATGTGTGCTTGCCTCTCCTGCGCCCCCTACTGGGGATCTGGCTTGCAACCCGGGCATGTGTCTGACTGGAAATCAAACCAGTGACCCTTTGGTTTGCAGGCTGGCACTCAATCCACTGAGATGTATCAGCCAGGGCTGAATTAACAGAATCTTCTAATTCTTGGAACTACAAAACCTTAAAATTAATCCAATCTCATTTCACAGATCAGGAAGCCAATAACAGCGCTAACAATCTGCCCATGGTAAGTCACGCAGTTACTGGAAGCACTGGAAAGACATCCCAAGGCTTCCTGACTCCCAGTCCAGAGAACTCTCCACAGGCCACAAGGAGGAGGAGGTGCTGATATTAGCAGCAGAGAGGAATTTAGTGAGAGAATGAGGAGCAGAACCTTGTCTACATTCAACATTATGGGCAGACAAGCCACCAGTGAAGAGGACTGAGATATTAAAGAGAATGAGGGCACTGTTGTGCTATACAAATCAAGACAACGTCAAGATCTAACCCACTGTGTCAGATGTCACAGAGATGTTAAACAGAACAAGCAGAAGTCTCTCTAGAAATCAGAGCAAAGTTAATAACCTTTGAGACAATTGTAGTAGAGTGGTACTTGCCAAGGTCAGACTATGGCAAACTTCACTACAATGAAGAGGGGGAAACTGAAGCCAGGTATGTTAAGGGTACTCAAATTGGATCAAAGACCTAAATATAACATCTACAGCTATAAAGACATTTAGGAGAAAACAAAGGTGTGTATCTTCATGACCCTATATTAGGCAATGGTTTTTTATATATGATACCTAAAACACAAGCAACCAAAGCAACAAATAAATTGCATGTCATCAAAATAAAAATCTTTTGTATGTTTAAAGACACTATCAAGAAAGTGAAAACACAACCCACAGAATGGGAGGAAATATTTGCAAATCTCTTATCTAATAAGGTATACTTTCCAAAATATCTAAAGGACACTTACAAATCAACAATGAAAAGACCAACAACCCAATTTGAAAATGGGGAATTGATTTGAATATAGACATTTCTAAAGATGATATACAAATGATCAACAAGCACATGAAAATATGCTCACCATCATTAGTCATTAGAGAAATGCAAATCCAACAAGGAGATGCCATTTCATACACACTAAGATGGCTTTTCAGTGAAAATAGATGATGAGGGTAGATGAGGATGTGCAGATATTAAAACTTTCATGTATTATTGGTATGAAATATAAAATAGAACATTCACCATGGAAAATTCTGGAAGTTCCTCAAAATATTAAACATGGAGTTACTGTATGACCCAGTAATCCCACTCCTAAGTACATAATAAGAGAAATGAAAACGTATGTTCACGCAGAAGTTAGTACAGGAAGGTTCATAGCAGCATTTTTCGTAACAGCCAAAGAGTGAAAACAACCCAAATCTGTTTTAGCTGATGAATAAATAAATCCAGTACATCCATATAGATTATTCAGTCATAACAGGAACACTGTTCTTACATATGTTATGACAAAGATGAGCCCTGAAAGCATTACATGAAGTGAACGAGGCCAGTCACAAAAGGTCACCTATTATATGATTTCATTTACATAAAAGGTTCAGTACAGGCAAACCCATGAGTACTGAAACATTTGCGATTGCTAAAGTCTGGAGAAAAAGGAGGAATAGGGAGTGAGCTCCTCTTATTCTTAAGGAGTTTCTTTTTGAGATAATGAAAATATTTTGTAATTAGATACTTGCGATGGTTACATTCTTATAACATACCAAAAAACATAGAATTGTACATTTTAAGATAGTGAATGCTATGGTGTATGCACTGTAATGCAATAAAATGTAACTTAAAAACTTGTGGGGAGGGACAAAAGAAAATGCCAGTGTTCTTTATGGAGTCATTTAAAAAGTAACAATATAATCAACTCTCAATTATCCAAAGGGGAATTAACCACTTTGTAGATTACCAAAGATAAGGCTTTGGCTCATTTATTTATTCCTTTATTTCTAATACCAGTTTAGTTTTCTCCACCTAAGAAAGCATAATTACAAAGGTAAACCTAAGGCCTCTCTATTGGGCTAAGCAACGAGTATTCACAAAACCACTAGCAAAAATGTAAGATACCATTTATATATGAAAGTAAGCAGAGGATAGTCCTGTACAATACCAATAAACCTTATGTTTCATTTTCAAAGATTTTTCTTTGGGGGGGGGAGACGAATTTTGAATCAACCTTGTGAGTGCCCATTTGGAGATCTTCCTCATTATCACAGCCTTCAGCTCTAGCAAAATCTTCGACATCCTGCCATTCCTTATTGCTTCCCTTATGAAAGCACAGACGTGTGCCTAAATTTAAGGTAAAAAAAGAAAAAATAAATTAGGTATGTGAAAGTGTGCTGCACAAGAGAGCGGTAAACAAAATCAAGATTTTTTTTGTGGTGGTGGTTTTTGGTTTCCTTTTTACCTTTCAAAAAACAGTGCCAAGCAGTTGAAGGCCAGGAATTGCACCACCCCAAATCATCATCATCCGAGAGGGAGGACATGCAGAAAATGCCAGATTCTGACTCACTATTTGCCTGTGAAGAAGAACATTTTAAGCATCTTTTTAAAACAGAGCTTATTATTATCCATCTCTATCTTAAGGTTTCAAGCTCTCTTCTTACCAGGGGATAATCATTCTAAACTAAGAAAAAACACACCTTCAAAACTGAAGTTTTTGTTAAATATATAGCCCCACTTGTAACGAAGTTTCCTAACAGTTAACAGAACTAGCTGAACAGTTATCGAATCCCGATAACTAGGTGAACGAGACATACTATTTCCCATTTGTATGTGCTTCAAAACGTTTTTAGAGAGTGAAAGTTAAAAAATTACAACCTTTGTGCAATCTTTTTAAAAAAAGTTTGATCTCATGAATAAACTCACCCTTTCATGTCTGACTGGTGTTTCCTCCTTCCAATGGGGAGGGAAGGCTGGCTCACTCTTAGAAGAAGAGGACACTGGTGGAGGGCGTGCATAGGAATGTAAACTTTTGCTAGTAGCTATGATGTGTACAGGAGATGATCTAAAAAAAGGGGGCAGTTTTAACCATAAAGCGTAGGTACTTAAAGCAGATCTTTCTTTCTGATTAAAAAAAAAAAAAGTTATATTCAAAATGCCAATGTTACTACATATAAGACACCTATGAAAAACACTAGTAAAGACATCAAGATTTCATTAATTTCTTGTTCCTTAACTTCTAACCCAAGCCCTCCTCATGCATTTGAAAGTATCACTATTTGACATTGTATTTTAAACTCCAAATTACTGTTTCATTTATTCATTTCTTTTTATGTCAACAAGTACGTATAAATGCTCCCTATCCATTTCTTTCCTCTACTTTGAGAAAGTAAGTCTTATATGAGTGAATCTATGCTTAACGCAACCAATATGGAACTCTTATTTACCAACCATAACTGGACACTATTTCCCTAGTGTTCTGATACAAACCTGCTGAAAAGCATCTACACATAAGGGCTAATTATTTTCCCCCAGATCACTTTTTAGAAAGTAACTCCATCCCCAGTTTTCCCCTCAAAAGTCTGTTTCCCAGGCAGAGCTCCCTTTAGTGTACTTGTGCTTCCAAGAACATACTATGATCTCCCACAAACAGATCAGCTATTCACAGGAGGGGTAACAGTAAGAAGCAAGCCCATGAAGGATGACCAATAGTGTGTACTGACATGGGAGTTTGGGAAGCAGCAGAAAGGAAGATTAGGTAGGGCGCAGATCTGTCTGAAAGTCCCAAATCAGTACAATTCTCCGAGATGCCAAATAGGGATTTGGTCTTTAACAGAAGAAAGTTTATGCATGTCTGTATTAACCCTCTTTTTAAAAAGGGGAGCAGGGACATCTTACCCTTCAATTATTCCCTTATTCCCTCAGAAATTTTATTAGCGTCTCAATTTTAATTTTACCCTCATTAACCTTTTTTCATTATATTTTTGCAGAAATTATTTTTAAATAAGGATCTATAAAACTATACTTTGCTTTCATGTTCGTATCACTTCTTAAATAAAAACCCCAACAATTTCCATGCATTTTAACATATTCTCCAAACGATTTTAGATTTCAAAATGTAAATATTGAATGTTTCATCTTTGGCTAATTTCTTCCCTTCATTATACATTGAGAACTTTGAGTATTAGAGAATGGCCAAACAACTAAAAATTCCTCAAGTTCACTCCTGCCCTCCTCATTAATGAAAAGAATGAGTTTTATCAGTTCTATTTAACCATTTCAGAGAAGTAACGATGCAATGTTTCAAAATGTATAATGGACTGCATGTTTTATAAAAACTAACATGCTACACACGTCTAAAACACTAATACCATTGGTCTCTTCATCCCTCTATCTATGCAGGGATAATTTAAATTTTACCTGCCCTCAACCCCTTGGTACTGTACAGTTACAACTTCAGATATCCAAAGCTCAGTAACTAAATAGGTTAACAACACACTACAAGAAGTTGCATGGACAGCCACTGACAGTGATAGAAAGCAGGTAAGACAGCAGAGTGTAGTCTTGTTCCCTAGGAAGAAGGGAAGCACAGAAAATGCTACTGAGAATAAATTTACATCTTCAAGGAGATACTCCTTTACTTACGGTTTTATTTATATTGATTTTATTCTGAAGGGTTTACTCAACTTTCCATGAACTATAATTATTAATCATTATGAGTTTGTGGTGAAAAATGGAAAGTATTATCTGTAAACTAGAAAGGGGGAAAAGAGAAAGCCCAATAGTAAAATCAGGGTTGTATTTTTTTTTTAAATGTAAAATAATTTTTATCTTTTTGACTATTAAGACTATAACAAAAACTGGGACCAAAAAGAATGTAATCAAAAGGTAAGTTTTCTATCCTGTGGAAATTTTCATGGAATTAAACCAAAGTTACCTAAAATGAATTTGCTCTAATCAAGACCAATAACCTGATGAATAAAAGAAAAACAGCAGAATTAATGGGTTATAAGAAAACCAGTTTCCATACCTAAAAAATTTATTTTTTCTAAAGATTTTATTTATTTATTTTAAAGGGGGGGGAGGGAGAAAGAGAGGGCGAGAAACATTAAAGTGTGATTGCCCCTTGCCGCCCCCTACTAGGGACCTGGTCTTCAACCCAGGCATGTGCCCTGACAGGGAATCAAACAGGCGATCCTTTGGTTCAAAGGCTGGCCCCTCAATCCACTGAGCCATACCAGCCAGTGCTAAAAAATTTATTCTTTAGCAAAGAATTATACTAACTCCAGAGCACTTACAAAAATTCAGTTATTTCTACATCGTCTAGTATGAACTATGGTTTATCCACCCCCATGAGTGCAGGCCTGGGCATTTCTCCTCCTTACAAACTCTCATATTTATCTGTGTCTTTTTACAAATATAGTTTTAAGATTTTAGGAATAATTAATGAAATATTATCCACTTAGGTCTCTCCAGGAGTACTGTTTGAAAGCTGCCATAATTTCATAGCACAACTCATTTTCTTAAACCCGAGTCTGGGTGTATGAAACAGTGGTTTTCACCAACGGAAGTCTACTTTTATAAGTTGACAATTTTAAGATTAGCTAATTTTAGTATTAGCAAAGAGCTAAGTAACAAAGTCAGGTACACTGGAAGAAAATAAACCTAGACAAAAGAGAAACTGAACTAAAGGTTTATACAAGTTTTAAAATACAATGTTTATTACAATTACGGTTCTTTGGACAAATACAATTTTTATATAAGTAGAGATAGAGTTACAATAAACTATTTCTTGGTCTGATTTATTTTCTGGTGACTTTTAAAACATTCACAAATATTCTTCACTCTACTGTTTTCATATCACTTTTATATAATTCTCAGTATGAAATTATGTTGAGTGAAATAGCTCTTGGATCATTATGAGAAGCTTAATTGTTATTTATTTAAGTCTCAATTAAACTGGGATTTAAGTAAATCATTCATTAAATGGTTAACAGCACTACTTTCAAAACTAGAAAAAATTAATAGCTATTTGTAATGATAAAAATTTTCAATAAAAATATAGTTTTCTTACCTGTTGTAAAATGAGCACTGCATAAGTGGACTTTGTGGACTGGTGGCGATATTTGCTAATTCTGTTAGCCAATCCACCTCATTTTCACGATAAGTATTTTCTGATATGTCTGAGGTATTTTGGTTCCAAGATGGTCTTGGATATTCTTGATGTGAAACATCTGAACTTAGCTGGTATATGGCAGATTGGGTAGGATCACTTTGAACAGCCTGAAGTTCAGGAAGGTCATCTGCAAATATACACTCAAAATTACGAAAAGGAAATTACTAAAACAGGGCAATACTATAACTACAGTTGGAAAGGAAGTCTTCAAATTTAGCTAAGTAATTTTGTGAGAAGAAAAGTTATAAATTCAAAAAATTTCTACTATGAAACAAGTTTCAATTTTAGGAAGTGACACCTAGTCCATTAAGGGTCAAAAGAGCTTAGCAGAGAAGTGAATCCAACGACTGTAAACGTAGTAATAACTTCACTACCTAAAGCATGTAATTACACAAACTATCCACAAACTGGGAAAACAAAGTCTGTGTTTCCTGGTTTTTCCCTCAGGTTTTTTATACTTCACCGATGAGTAATCCATATACTACTGAGACATTTTCATTTATGAACATATTAATGAGGAAAAAGGCAACTTATGTGCCCATATATGTACTTATTCACATACTTTCATTAACCTGTTATACAAGATCACTGCAATAATGAATATAACTATTTCCAAAGAAGAGATAAAAATCATATTATAAATTTTTTGGTACTATTTATTCAACTTTATATATGCCAAACTATTTCTTTTTACTGAGAAATTCTGAACTCAGTAGTATTTATTTTTTCCTGTAAATGTGTTCCTGACAGGTACATCATGACAGACTTTTACTGCTTAAGACAAAAGACTAGAAGTACTACCACTCATGTACTACTGTAAGGAATTCGAAAAAATTAAATTCTAAAATAACTGAGAAAAAAATAGAGAAAGCATCCTGCAGACCTTAAAACTGTCATAAAACACAAATTTACACACTCTACAGATCCTTGGTTCCTTTCAACGTCTGTCAAGAAACTCTTCTAGTCACTCTAAACGTACTTACACATAACTCCTATTCAGGCAAACATTCCAGAAGAGCCTATTAAAACTTAAATGGCTTGTTTTGAAGTATTGATTCAGGGTATCCATTCCAAAAACCGAGTAAAAGGTATCCGACCCTGCCCCCCCGCCCCCACCTTCATGGAACAACCAAAATGTCATACCAATTGGACATAACTCTACCCTATAATCTTGGTGGAGCCACTTCCCTCATTGCCAACATCCTTTTTTTTTTTTTTTTTTTACCATTTCTTTTTTATTCAATACTATAAAGAGTTCACTTCTGTCTTTCAAGTGTAGGATATTAGGTGTTTTTAAATTTAGGTCATTTTGGATGGTATAAATTTTTAAGCCCCCACCTGCCAGGCCCTAAATTCCTCTTTTCCTCCTGAAACCTAAAATGTGATGGTAGAGGATCAATTACCTGATTAATATCATGTCTTTGCTTGACAGCAACTACTACTCAATGAATTATTAGGGCCCAGCAAACTCTTGGCATTCAAACAGGTGTATGTCCCAAGAGTTCAGGTTCTCTAAATTCCCAGAGCACTGCAGCATATAATCTAATCTCCTCTACTTCATCTTGTAAAATGAGGACAATCCCATCTTCTCAGGGTATTCGTGAGCATCAGGAAAACTACGTATTAAATGGGGACAAAGCCAAGCTGAAAAGCTAGGCAGCAAGCCAAGGTTATTCATTAGCTGTTTTTTCTTCGACATATCAAAGCAATACAATTCAAAATCACACCTCAACAATTCTACACATTTCTACAGGTCACGTATCTTTGGAGTAGCTCAGCAATAGTGATTACCACAAACAGCAGACCCTCAAGTTTCAAGGGTCCACTGTAATTTCACCATCATTATTAACAAACCAGCCTTGAAGAGTGGCCAAGGATAAGTTACTGAGCTCACTGGGATGTTCAAACACCTTTTGAAAAGCCACATTAGCAGTGTTTTGCTAAAGTGTTTAACAGCTCAATCTTTATAAGGCAGGTTAGTATAATTTGTAAATGAATTTCTATGATAACAATAGTTCAAATTTATGTTGGTCTTCAGTAATATTTTATAAGCAGTAACAAGAGGACATTGAAACTAATATACACACACTTCACATACTTTTCAGCAGTTCAAGGTAGGCTAACCATGAAAAATAATCTGGATTTCAGTAAGATTCTTAAAAAGTTTTTAATTTTATTTACCAAGCTCCATGTGTTCATCACAGGAGTTATAGCCAGGTGAGGATGGCAAATTTTCATTACACTGTAGCAACTCCAATGAATCGTTCATTCCTGAAGCTCTCTTGTCCATTACCAGCAGGAGTTTCTGTACTGCATTGGGCATCTGGTTTGTCTTTACTTCCCACACCATGTTATGGTGCTCCGACTTTAAAATAAAAATGTAAGGAAAAAATGTCAAATCATGTGATCTGAAGATTATATGAGTATAAAATCAATCAGCAGCATCACAATGTTGTATCTTTAGTCTATACATCATTATCTGTATCCCCATCAAATCCTTTAAACCAGGATTGACTCCCCAACAGCTTGGCCTATACTCATGCAGTCAGCACTAAATCATACCCAAATCCCAAAGGATCGTATCTTGAATTTATAAAAGTCCTTTCTTCAAAAGAATTAACAGCACAGTTTTTAAAATCAGGTATCTCTTTCAGACCCCAATATTGAGACCAACAAAACCTATTTTTAACTTGTCTTCAAATTTAAAAGAAAATTGACAAACTTCCCTCAAATTCAAAAAGACTAAAAGAATGTTTTTTTCATTTGTTGAAGATTCTATTTTCATTCTATTTACTGTTCATTATTTTGTTTTCATATCTTCTGAAAGTAAATGAGCTTAACACTCTTACAATTATAGTCTATAAAGAACATTTAAGATGAGCTTCTTAAAAGCGTCATATATCACACTTCTCATAAAAATAAAAACGTTCATACGTCTTAATGAAAATTTGGGACCTAGACATAATGAAATGATACCTGTCCTTCTGACCAGGCTATTATTCCTAGACTAATCACAGGAGATAGTTAGCTAACAAACAGAAAATCTACTTTCATTTCAAGGCTACAAAATTATCATAAGGAAGAAAATAATACAGGTGAATACAACAAAATAATTTCTCAGGGAAGTCCACCAACTAAACTTTGTTATGATAGTCAATGTGGTTACACCTTTTACACTCTTGCCTTTGGACATTATCAAATTGGTTATTTAACACAGGTGAGAACAGCAGGAAGACTTCCTGATTTCTCAGGCTCTACTCCAAATCTCATTTTTAAAAAAGTTCTGAGCTAATAGGAAATATACAAAAAAGTCTGAAAGCATCGTTTTTTGCTGTTAAAAGTCACTAGAAGTATCCCACCCAGCTGAGCCAATCAAAAAATGAGATTAAAAACATTTTAAATGCTTATTATTTATACCAGAGCTTTCTAAGTCATGACATAGTAACCAAAAAAAAAAACCCACTGGCAATACTTTCTTTTTTAACAAAGGCTTCTTCATAATCTTTTAAATTACAAAATGTTTTTCTGACTATAAAATACACAATCACTGTGGCAAAAATTTAAAAAGCATTTTTTAAAAAAGTAAAATAATTATTTCTAATTATTCAACCAGATTTGGATACTATTAACATTTTGGTGCACTGTCTTGACATCTTTTTCATGCAGATACCCACCATATTTGTCTTCATGTACCTTTCCCTTTATGTTAACCTCATAAGCATTTTCCTATGTCATTAACAAATATCCATATCCATTTTAAATAAACACACATCATACGGATGTACACAAGTTCACTTATTCCTCCTACTGCTGAACATGTATGCTGTTCTCAGTTTTTTCACTAAGTAACTCTGCATTTACATTTTTTTAAAAAATAGTATTTGCTTAGATCTGATTATTTCTTTAGATTCTTTATAGGTGGATGACAATTAAACATCTTCCAAAGGTTCTTGACACATACAGCCAAACTACATATTGCCTTATATTATTTTCTAATATTCTACTTTGGGTGCTGTCTGCACATCTCAAAAATGACCCATATCCTGGACACTGCTTGCGTGGGTGTCCAACCTTTTGGTGTCCCTGGGCCACACATTAAATACACAAACACTAACAAAAACTGATCAGCCAAAAAAAAAAAAAAAAAGGTTTTAAGTAAATTTATGATTTTGTGCTGAGTTGCATTCATAGCTGTCAGGAGCTGCATGCAGGCCTCTGGGTTGGACACCCCTGCTAGAGCCTTACTCAGTATCTACTGTATGTTGTACTAAGTATGGGGTCGTGAAGGGCACTGGGTTAGGTATAAGGAAACATGGGTTTTGATTCCAGCTTGATCACTTACTAAATAAATGACTTAAATGATTGAGCTTCTCACTCACTCAGTATCTTCATATGTAAAACAGAGTTAATGACTCCTGCCCAACTTTCCTTCTGGAGTAAGGTGAACTGAAACAAAATGAGTAGAAAAAATGTAAAATAACTTCCTGAAAAACTTTGTTTTATTTAGTGTGACACAGGGCCAATATTATACATGTTTTGGGCACTTAATTGTCCTAAATAGAATAGTTAACTGAGATTGAGAATGGTTCACAACAGGAGGCCAGAGAGCTATTCAGCTTCAGCAATTTGCTCTCTGGGAAATAGTAAGTTATCTGACATAGCTCAATAAAAGTCACGTGTCATGCCATTACTTTGAGCAAATAATAGTTTATCTAAAAAATATCTGAGGCATTTACAAGACATAATACCTTTCCAGTTTAGTATAATCTATTATGTATTGATTAATCAGTCTTATTATGTAAAGTGGTTATAGCAAATCTACTGGGGGTATAACAATTTCCTACAAAATTGGTGGCTACAAGAAATATGGTAACACAAATTGATTTAGGTAAAAAACTGGCCAAAATCATGATTCTAAGCCTCTACCCTCACTGTAAAAATCAAGCAAACTTAGCTCTATCAGTGATTCTCCACCCTTGCAATATATGCAATTGCATAGTATTGCCAAAAAAAATGATACCCAGGCTGTGCTTCCAGAGAATTGATTTATTTGGTCTGGGGTACAGCCCCATACAGTGGCTATTTGTTTGCTTTAAAAAGAAACCCCAGGTGTAGTGTGAGAACAAGTGGGCTAAAAATGATTGCCAAATCCCTTTTGACTTAAAAAAAAAAAAAAAAAGCCATTATTTTCTTACTTAGTATACACTATGTTCAAGACACAAGTTTCAATGCTAGCACTCAATGATAAATCATTAATCTCAATGAATCTACTTTAGTAGAAAAATGACCATACTTGTACAGATCAGGGAGTTGCTATGAGTAAGTAAAAATAAAGGGAGGTCTCCAAACAAGAGAAACTCACATGACCAAATGCACAATTAGCAAAGCATTGGCTGAGTGCAGGACATAGAGGCCAGCATTACCAGAAGATAGGATAGTCTTATGTGTACTGTGGTCACAGATGTTAAAGCTAGAAGGGTAGACTAAAATCAGAATCTTCAATCCTAGTGCAGGGAAATTGTGGGGATTTTTGGTTTTTATTTGTGGGGTTTTTCTTTGTTTTGTTTTGTTTTGGTAGACAAAAACAAGGACTCTGAAATTAGGCTACCTGAGTTTATATATCAAATTTGTTATTTACTATGTTCCCTGAACAATTTATTTAAAATCTTTATGCCTTATTATAAAATGTAAATAATTAAAGCATCTACCTCATAGGTTGTTGTAAAAACTCAATGAGCCAACAAATATAAAAAGCTTATAACAGTGCCCAACACAGAGCAAACCTGAGTAGAGTGACTAGTATTAGCTATTATCAGACAATGGGAAACCACTTAAGATTCTGGAACAGAGGTCTGACATTCTCTTCACTTCTATACAAAACCATACTGAAACACTGTATGAGTATGCAAGAACATCTGTAACAAATATTTAAGGGACAGTGTATTAAAAACAGAATGTATTAACATTCCCAATTTCTATCCATGCAAGCCACGTGCCCCGGTTTCCTTTGCAAGAGTTTATATCAGGACAGATTCCTTACTTAGTAATGCTGAGACATGAGAGGAACTAGTCATTCTATAAATTCTTTACATATACATATCTGCTTAAGTCAGTCTCAGCTTTAATCTTAAACTTGGCAGCTTTCTTTTTACCTTTATAATGACTTAGAGGTTGCCCCACAATGTATTCTATCTTCTCAGAGCTATCCTTAAGTGTATGAAAGTGTTGTTCTTGGGGTCCACAGAAGCAGTGCTGCAGTCTGTCTGCCTTCCCCCTCACTCTGTAGAGCTAATTTTCTCATTCTGTCCAGCTTTATGTTTCTCCTATCAACATGTCTTGCACTGTCCATGACTAACCATTTACAATATACTAATTCCTCCGTGCAACTATCATTTCTTCAGCATCTAGCCTTAGTTATCTACCAATATCTCATCACAATATTCCTCAAATAAAAAAAAATTAATTTCAAAATACAGCTACCTACAAATAAAAAAAGGGGACCAAATAAATACTTGCTGAACTTGAGTTTTATGTGTTTGCACATCTTATTGTTGTTGCCTATCAAAAGCTGGTCCTGCAATAATGGAGATTTTGCTACTGTAAACCTCCTCCTGTACAGTACCTGGGAGCCTAGACTTAGTCAACAGACCTGAATTTCACTCTTGTAGACCATCAGCCCCACAGTATCTTTACTTATTCACAGGGCTTGTGCGAGAACTAAATACATGAAAGCAAAATTCAAACCCATATGCAAACAAAGTTTTTGGTTCTCATTTTTTTGTCAAACTATTTGGGGGAAACAAGGCCCCTGATAACACTAAAGGAATTATCAAAAGAGTCCAGACTCAGAAATACTCCACTCCCCCATACATTATACCAATCAGACATTCATTCTGATAAACAAGTTCCTCTTTCAGATATTTCCTGGTAGAGCTAAACCCATTGTTCATTCATACTTTTGTATTCTGCTTTGGTATTATAGGATTCACATGTCATCTATTCACTAGATGACTTATTCTCAAAAGGGAAAAGTAATTCTCCAGCAGCTGTACTTTGAAATGTCATGTTCAGTATTGCAAATTTTTGTTTGGTGGGATTGGGAAGACCCTATTGCTTTTGTTTAGCATACTTTCAGAAGTACAGAGCCACAAAATCTTAGGTAAGAGAGTAAGAAAGGACCACAAATAACTACGTTTCAGTGAATGAAAATGAAGGAAATAGGTTTTAGTAAATGCCTACCTACTCCATGCAGACCATTTCCACATGGTTTGTTTAATCTTATATGGCCTTACAACAGCTCTGTGAACATAGTATTATTATGGATGGGGAAGACAAGATTCTGCCAACTGAATGGGACCATTTTCCTTTTGAAAAGAAATGGCAAAAATTATAAAAGGCATGGACCAACATAATTAGACTACTACTTTCAAGTGCCTATTCTTCCCTAAGTCCTTAGCTTTCCATCCTTACTACAGATTTCACAGAAAGGAGCTCCTATATGCTCTCCCCTAATCCTGAAGACTCTTTTACCAAATTCAAATTGCTTGTGAGCAAAAGGTAAAGAGAAGGTAATCTGCAATGAATTTATATCTCTGACCTGAGAACTGAGGTATTTATAAGTGGATTACATAATTTCAAGCTAAAATGAACCTCCATAATAAACTGTATTAAATGCAACTTTCTACACCAAAAGTAGTTGGGGGCCTTAACGCAGTTCTTCCAGAATATTTTCCATGAAACTCTGAACAAAAGATTTTAAAGAAATGTTTCAACAACTTGTGTGCCATTGTGCTGGGGCCCCCCACACCCCAGAAGTGGGTGGTATTCTTTTAGTAAAATACACTACTGTAGAGTATCACTTAATACCGACATGACTAAAGAATTTAACTCTATGCCTGTTTTCTTTCTAAACTGAACCAGTACCTGTCTTCCTATCATAATTACTGTAGGTATAAAAAATACTGCATCCCACATACTTACCTGATTCCAAAGCACCCTTGTATCTCATCAGTCACTGCTGCCCAGGTCAGACTCCTTGCCCTGACGGACAGTGCCAAATCACATCTGCACAAATCCTTATTAATTCTCAGCTCATCTGACAGTAAATGCTGATATTGATGAAGGTAAAAGAAAACTCGTAATACCCCACTAGAAGCCATGCACAAAGCTGTTTAAAAGAAGACTGACAGTCTTCTTTGAATTGACAATTCAAATAGTATTTAAGATGAGTCATTGTATGAAAAACTTGAAATCTAAAATTCACACAGGAAACTTGTTTTCCTAAACTTGATTATAATTCTAAAAAATTCTAATTACCTGTAACAATTTGTGAAAAAAGCTTTTCTAAGCTATATAATTTTTTCTAAGCTAATGACTTAAAAATTTACAACTCTATTAGAAAGTTATTTTTTCTATTTTCTATGGAAAATGATAGTATAAATTATGATATGAAGCACCAAAGTAAATGTAGACCAAAATATGAAGGCATGTGAATATTATCCATGTGAAAGGCAGTTAAAGAGAGTATTTTTCCTGGATTTTGTGAAAAGGTATCTGTCACCTTTAAATTTCTTAAATTTAATGTGATTCACACTTTTATTCTATATAAATACTTATTTTCATATTTAAAATACATGCAAACTACCTGTCACCTCATTAACATGGCAGTAATTTATGATAATTTATGACATAAAAAAATAAAGTATCTTCATTTCAAACAGAAATACAAGACATCAGCTTTAATTCTCCCTCCAGGATATCTTCAGGGCCTAGCAGTTTATTCATCATTAAGCCCAGGCCATATACTGCCTCCAATGAGCACTTGGATAGTGACAGGAATCCAGAGAAAGGAAAATACAGTGGAGGAGACCATTCTTTAAAGTGACAGTCCATATGTGAAGTCTGAGAAGTAGGCACTGTGAAGCATGGAAGATTGTGGAGACAGGTGTGCAGGGAAAGCTTGGGAGAAGGGAACCTTTTAACGAATGTATGTAAAAGTGAAAAAAGTATGAGATGTAAACAAGGGGGAAGGGTTTTCCAGGCAGGGGAAAAAAAGGTAATTAGGCTTGAAAAACTACATAAAATGGACTAGAAAGTGAAATGGTTTTCATTCTATAAGTAATATTTTAGTCAAGTTAGAACAAACAGCAGTATTTTGCTGTAAAGTGGCTTCCTCAAAAGCATTAAGTAGCTCAAAAACTTGAGTGAATTTAATTCTTTTGAATATAATTCAAATTTCCTTAAAACTTGCTAAATACTGCCAACACAGCAAGAACTGGGTAGTTTAATCAAGGAAATTGAACAGAAAATCCTAACACTCTTGGTTGGCAAGGTAAAGCAAAAGACAATAGGAAAAAAAAGCAAGCAAAGACCAAAAGTTCTAGGAATACATTACAAAGGTAGATTATCAATAGTTAAACAATAGAAAAGTATTCACAAATGTTAAAATTATCCTAATTCACAAAAGTTAACTTTAATTTCAAAACCACTGTTCGGAGTCATCTGTTACGGCTACTCAGATGGAATTGTTGGTAGGACTCCAACACTTCTTAGCATACACAACTCCCTTTTACCCTCCTGTTTTATGGCACCAGTGGTATCCTGAGATACAAACTCTTGAGTACTGCCCTGCTGTCACTGCTCCTTTTAAAAACGATTCTTGTTGAAAACTTCCTGAGAATTAACGCTTAAATGTTGCAGAAGGCACAGAAGCGTGTAAAACCCCCTAGACAGTATGCAGAGTTTAAACGAGCTACAAAAACCGGGCCCCCGCGGTCCACTTCGCCAGGATTCCTTTTTGTTTTAATCAGCCTGAGGCAGCAGCAAAGGTTGGAAGGCGGAGACTAGAATAGCCTGCCAAGTCTCGGCTCTCGGTCACAGAGGCAGCGCCCGCAGGTTCACGCCAAGTCCATCCCCCACCCTCTTTCGCCATTCATCGCGTTCCCCTCCCCTCCCCCCATCATGTGACCGCAGCCTGGACTCCAGGCTTGTTTTTCCCCTCCGCTCAGCCCCACCGCGCAGGCGCCTCGGAGTCCATTCATTCGAACTGCGTAACAATGAGCCCGGGGGCCCAGCGGCTCCGCGAGCTCCCCAGCTCGGCTCGAGCCCCTCTGGGACCTGAATAAGGCAGCGCCTTACTCGGGTCACCAATCCCCGGCCGGTGCCCCACCGCGGGCCAACCTCCGACCCTCCACCCACATGCGGGGAGTTGGAAGTCAAACTTTCCTGGGCAGCCACGGCGCCGCCTCGGTCTCTTCCCTGTCCCAGAACCTCCCCCCGCCATCTCCGCACCAGGTCCGGCCACCCACCGCGCAACCTGGCTCAGAACGAAGTCCTCTCCGACTCCTCCCCGCCCCCGCCCCCGACACCCCTAGAGCTGCGTTGCCGCGAAGCCCAGGTGAGCTTGCGCGGGGCGCTGGTCCAGTGGGTTCGCAGCAGGCAGTTAACCGGTTCGCAGCGGGCAGTTTCCCACCGTAAGAGAAGCCTTTCGAGGACGAGAAGCGCGGACCCGAGCTGGCCCAGTCGTCCGTTCCCCTCGGGATCCTGCCCCTCCCTTCCCCACCCCCACCCCTTCCCGAACTAAAAGACAACAAACCCTCCGCGGAGTGCGGGCAGTCCCGGCGCGGGCAGTCCTGGCCGCGACAACACCACCAGCAGTTCGCGAACCCCCTCTCCCACTGAGGCTGGCCTCCCCGATGCGCATTACTGCTCTCGCCTCCGCTCTTACTCCTCAACCGAAACTTTCCTACTTACCAAACCCGTCGCCATTACCAAGTCTTTCAAGCTTCGTCTTCCCCCTCCCCTCAACCACCTGGGGGTTGAGCCTCCTTACAGCTCTTTCACCCTTTTATTGGCCAACAGAACTGCCATTCGATCCTTTTTCTTCCCCATTGGGTGATGCCGTGGTCCGTCTCGGGGGGCGGGCTTGTATTGACTTTTGTGTTGTGTTTACTGGAGAAGATGGCATGTCAATCACTAAAATAACCGCTCCGGATTGGATTGCTGCCGAGACTCCGGGGACCCACGCCCCCGAAAAGGGTTGTGGGTTGGTAGTCTCAGCCTTGCTTCGTACTTCTGGGAAATTGCGTGCCGTTGGAACCGGTAGGACTACATATCCCAGAGGTGCGTGAAGAGCGCAGTCTTGATAGTAAACAAGAGTCATAGGGACACGTGTATCAGCTCGTTTGTTTTGGTGTCTGGGACAAAAGGGAGGAGGCGGAGGAAGGGAGTATTTTAAAGCTTTGGCCTCTTCTCCTGCTCTGGACCGGTCCTAGCACTCAGAGCAGCCCCAACCTCTTGCAGTACCCGTTCCCGGTCATAAACAGTCGGAGCGCCTCGCTGCTGCTCAAAGTTTGGCAGCAGGCCAAGGTATTGTTTTAGTGCTAGGGGAAGGAGATGACTACCAAAGCGGAAGCATTGTAGCCTCGCGAGGGACCTAGTCACCCACAAATCTCGGTCCCAGTCATGATGGGGACAATAAAGGTGGTGCTGGGCTCCAGTGGAAAGAACTAGATTTTCTTTATTCTGAGCCTTTGCTCGTCGCACCCGGGCAGTAATTTAAGAGTTCTTTGCCAACTCAATTCAAGTCACCCAAAATTTGTTTCCGGCTGTATTCGAGGCACTGATATCCTTGGGAATGGACAGTTGAGAGAGAAGCTTAGGGTCTGGAATTTTACAAAGCTGTAAAAAGGGTGGATGATTACTATATACTTTAAAATTGAGGGAAATCAAAACGGTGTTTTCTATTTTGACCAGCTTGCTCGTTGTTTGCAGTAATACAGAGGGTTTTAATGTGAGTTAAACTGATTTAATTTGTGAATCATTATCTAAATATCTCCGGTGAGTTTGGAACCATATTCCCCTCCCAATGGCTTCTCATTGATAATGTCTTTCCACTTTTTTCCACCAGGAGTTCCTACTTAAATTGCTAATACTCTGACTCACCAACGGAGGGTGGCTTCTCTCCTTTAGAGTTCCCTTCACTTTAAACATGGCTGTCCATCACAGCACATCTAGCCTATAATTGATATGTTTACCATTCACATTACAAAGACATTAATAAGCCTTTTTTCCCTTTGAACCTTTGGTGTTTAATCATTTAAGCTATGCTTTAGGTTTTATATCTTTAGATCATTATATGTATGCTTAAAGTTTAAGAGGAGAACTTAAATTAGTAAGAAATCAGTAAAGTCAAATTCCTGAAAAGAGCCTGAAATTATAGCTAATTATTTCTTTAATTACATTTCTTGAAATTTTAGTCTGCCTGAAAGCCACGTAATAAATCAAGAAATCCAAACTTACCCTCATATGTTGAAACACGTTTTCAAATTCTTTTTAGTGATTCTCTGTTTGAATGCCTGAAGTGAATTACTTATAGAATAGTCCTTCCTACCATGTGATCAAAGGTTTACTTTGTGTAGTCACAAATGGTAATCAAACATTTTTCCTAAAAATAACTCAGAAAGCCAACAAAATGCCAGAATTTTTCCCTGTGGAAAAAGGACAGGATTTGAATGTATCCTCCAAAAGAAGTTTTAAGAGTCATCCAAAAAAAGAGCTTGACTGTGTCCATGCAATTTTGTATACCCTTATTTTCTTCCTTTATTTTTTTCAGTTGAGGTTCATTGTGCCCAAAAATTGAAAATGTAAACCCCAGTGTTAAATTTCTTGACAGATAGAAAAATCTGTGAAATTCACCTATCCATTTAAAATTAAAATCTGAGATATTTATGTCTAACTCCCTGCAGGAAATTGAAAAGCTTCCCCTTGCCCAAAAAGTGAGCTTTCAAGAGCTTGAGTTACTCCTTTCCCTCTTCAGTGCAAGACTGTGAGATCTACTTTTGGCTAAACCTTACTTTTAAAGTTTTTCTATTTTTAAGTTTTTACTGAAAGCGTTGTAGCAGAGTGAAATGCTTCCTCTCTCTGGCTAATAGCTCCTCTATAGATATGCAATTAACTAGAGCTGCGATTTCAAGATTTTCAACCAGTGTGCTGGCAAAAATTTTTAAAACATGCAATACCTGATTATTTAGTCAGGGGCACTGATCTCTTTTCTGTCTGGTGTGATTGAATCAAAACTGTAGTTATTTTTGTCAGATCGGCAATATATACAGGGTCTGGCACAAATAAGTTCCCTTTATTATTACAAAATCGTAAGTAATTCTGTAACATAATTCACACTCAAGCAC